CGTTGTGCTAGCACTGAGTTTAGCTTATCCTCTGTTCTGATTGGTGTCTACTATTTTAGTGAAAAATATAAGGGCATCTTTTTTATTTTTTCTCGTAAGAATTTATCTTTTATATTTGTTTTCAGATGGATGTTAGATATTGCATGATCAGTAATAAGAGAGGTATTAAAAATACTTTTTCTACGTTCTATTATCTATGTATATATATCTAATATATAATTTATGCGATAGACACATGTATAAAACATGCCTGTGTTTTTGTTAGTTTCTTTTTAAACAAGACATGCAAAAAAAGTCTGTATTCATTGTATATAACGAATACTGGTAACAAGGAGTGCGTTATTTTGTTGATCACACTTGTAAACCACAAAGGCGCGAAAGTCCGTAATCTTAATTTTAATCTATTTGTTATGATTATTTCCAGATAGAATTTTTGATTTACTTATATTAATTTAAATTCGATACTGATTGGTAATTATATCCAACGGAATAGTAAGTAACACTAGTCTAAGAGTATTGTTCAAATTCATATTTCATCCCTATCGGTATTTGTCAGCACTACTTTTGTCACATTTTCCGTAGATTAACAAAAAAACCAGTACTCATGTAAGAGTCATACTAATTTGTTAGAAATGCTCTCATTAAAAAAAGGATGAATAATTAGATAGTATTATAGTGAAATTTGTATATTGCTACAGTGGTATTTGCTTTATTATGTTGACAGAACTCTGTTCAATAAAAGAAAATAAGAATAAATCAGAGGAGATTGATTTTTTAATACTAAACGTGCGTTATCCGCACTTAGTCTATGTTTGAATATATTGCGATTTCCCCATCATAGTATATGCCTTCGTTTCATGTAGTTTACACGCTGACATGTGGTTGAATGAAAGAGAAAAGAAAAAAAGACAAAAGCATCTTTTGAAGTAGACTTTTCCTTCGTTCTTATATAAAACACGTGTATTGGATAGGCATGTTCTAATTAAAAACATATATTCACTGGTTTTGTTCTAAATAAATACGGTATTTAATAAGAATAGAAATGAAGTGCAGTGTATTATATACAGGCAAGAACTAACTCATTTTGAATGTTAAACTAAAAATTTTTGATTTCATTCAATTGTTGAGGCTCTCAGCTACGCAATGGTGAAAATTTTTTCGAAAAAGTTCAAGGATAAGATCAAGATGAAGAAAATAAATACTACACTTGTCGAGTATTTTTGTTCTGATTAAAAGCAACCTCTCTATTCTGTCTTCGATTAAGATAAGAACATAAGAAAAATTCGATAATAGATGTTAAAACAAGATGAAACAAAAATTAACATTCGATAAACTGTAATCAGTTCTGTTTAAGTGTTTAATAGAGTAAGCTTAAACGACGATGAACTATTATCTATTTACCATGATTCGTCTTCATCACCGGAAACTTCAATAACTTCATCTTCATCAGGATCTCGTGATTCAAAATAAGTATTTGCCCACGTATCAAAAATATGTATCATTACCCTAAGTGTTAGTTTGAGAAGCGTCTGAAGTATTTTTTTTCTATATAATTTGTTTCATAAACAACACTCCTTGTTTATTTGTTGAATGGAAAAAATCAATCGTAACCATATCGTATAGAAGTGTTTGTAAACGTCGCGGGTTCTTTGGGCGCCCTGGAGAAAACTTGTATAGATTGAAACTACTTTACGAAGGTGGCACATCATATCAGAGAAGTATTCATAACGCATGATAGATAGTCCTTAGCGTACACCGACCGAAGGGAGGTGTAAGCGTTGTTTCGACGAACTAGGCCAAACGTTGCCTCCACTCAGGTTTTGTTATCAAGGAGACATCAAGGAACGGAAGAGTCAGTTTCTTTCTACGCTTCATGATTGATTCAAAAATTAATCGCTCATTTATTATTCTGTATGCCATACATGAAATACGTATTTTTCCTTTGATAGAAGGAATTTCATTGAATGAAATGAAAATTTTCTAAGCCCATCTGTATGCAAACTAAAAAATTTCATACAATAACTGAGCGAGAAATACTTGCACGAATATTTGTAATTACCGTTAAAAAATTCTAAGAAATTTTTCCATATGGAAAAAATATCGCTATAATGAACGCTTGATGCTTCCTTAGATATATCGATCTGGTACCAGACGTACTTCATATGAAGCTGAGAATTATGGATGTATTATTGAAACATATACTATATGAAGCCTGCACTGTTCCAGCTCCCGCCGATATTCAAAAACAACAACAACAGCGTGAGTTTACATTAAAACTTCTCAAACAACATTCAAAGGAAACTAAAGTAAGAGGCAAAGGTTTCATTACCATTACAAAAGAAAAAATGCACATAAAGTATTTAACTTATCATTTCCGAGATGACTTAAGTGATGCTATAAAACTAATACATTTTTCCATCGCTACTTTACTTATAACTCAAAATTAATGAAAAATGTCTTGATTTTAGACCTACATTAAATTCACACTAGAAAAACAAAAAATCGTTAAAATTGGTCCCATATCTGGTGATAAGCATGATATCTTTATGCCGCAATTACAGTTACAAAAATTCATGTGGAATCAACAAAGAGTACAAATCATAATGAATCTGATACAAAATTTTTATCATATTTTGGAACTGTTAAAAAAAGAAAATGATGAAATTAATCCATTAGAACTTAAACTTTTATGTAAAGGTTGGGCGCAAACTTATCTGAATTTATTCGGAAAAGACCAAGTAAGATGGTTTTTCGCTAATATAATAA